GATATGTTGTGGCAACTGGGCTTCAGACACTCCATTTATGTCTTTTTTTACAGGGCAAGAATCATACTATTACATTAGGGATCAGACACTTTGGTGGCTGTCTGACCTCTTGTTACTGGCTTTAAAACAGTGATGTCATGGATGGCCTGCCTTTATGGGACTACACCACAAAATAGAAAAGAAAAACAATATGGTTAAAGTTATTTCTTAATTTCTTATCTGTTCCAGTAGCAGCTGCCATCAGTAGTAAAATGTGCTTGTACTTTCAGTTTGAAAATTAACTTTCTTCAGAGTACAAACACCTGATTTTGTTAAATACTTTGCACTGCCAGATAAAAGAGCTTGTTGACATTTGTAATGGCCTTTTGTAGCTAACTACAGATTATTATGAGGAGAAATAAGGTTAAGTTACCTCTAACCTTCCTGAAAGACCCTGGCCTCCATTTAGTGTTGCAATCATTACAAGGCATGATTTCCAGATAATGAACAATCATTGTTGCAAGCTTTCCAAATTCATTTTGGAAATATTTTAAAGCCTGGTTATTAGAACTGAACAGAGCAGTTACTTACCCATTAACGTAGGTGAGAAAAATGCAGCCTCTGACTTTCTAGTCAGTAGCCAGATGTAGGAAAATAGGTATCTTTCAGCATCATTAGGGGAAGTGGTTATAAATATCATTCTGATGTGAATATGAAAACTAGCAATGTGATGAACTGAAAATGCCATCAAAGAAAAACTCATTTTAAGGTGTACATCTCTGTGCTTTCAGTTATCTGTAAGAATAGAAATTGGGGTGTATTAAATGCTATATAGGAAATTATAATTAATCAGTGGAAGTGTACAAACTTGAGTATTTATCATAACAATTTTTTTAATGGAACTATGACTTTTCTTTTGTCTGTTACTTACCTAACGCTGTTGCTTTTACTGTTTCCTGAGTTTGAGGTTTATTTGCTTGAAATGCCTGTTGTTTTATATATAAAATGTAATCCCTATAAATTCAGTGATCAGAGAAAATATTGGTAATTTTTCATTAGTTTGTTTCTGTTCTCCTCTTTCTCATCTTTACTTGCCCCAAGAACATGCCTGCATTTTCACCATTCCACCCTTACTTCTGTTCCGCTTCCCTGACCAGGTCACACTAAAGAAGGTTACTCCTTCAGGAGAGGACCTTATTAAACCAGTAGGCCCTAAACATCAGTCTAGGATGCTGTCTGGACTCTTCTTTCCACAACGCTTTTGTGAACTTTTCCCGTTCCCTGAATCAGAGAGTGTCACCTCAGCTTTTATTATCCATAGTTTATGGTTGTTTTGGCAGATAAGCAATCTTTTACCAAACCTAATCGAATCATCCAGAGACTTGCAGATTAAGGGAAAGAATTTGTAGATAACCTTATAGAGATACAGGTCTGCTTCTTTTCACTGGAGAGAACTGCTTGTGTGTTTTGCCCATGCTGTGGTGGTCATTGCATTTCCCAGTCATCATGGCTCATAGGTGTCAGGTACCGAGATGACTAAAGGCTGGCCTACAGTGATAAAGTATGTAAAAAATGAAGAACCACAGGAATGCTAGAAGGTGCTTCTTGCTTTTAATTTGAGGACCAGGTAGTAATTCACCATAGCTTGGAGGACTCACGTGTTTTGCCGTAGTTGTGATGCAGAAAAATGAGTCATGGACAACACGCTTCTCAAACTGATGAGCTTTGCAACCTCATCTCTGGTGTCCCCTTGATACTTCCCTGTTCATACCCATGCCAAACCCAATGGCTTGACCCTGGCAGAGCCTGTGCTGATACAGGTCATGGCCTCCCAAGCTGCAAACCATTTTTTGCAGAAACTAGTGCTATCTGTCTTTACAGTCTCATATATCCTTGATAGCAGTGATTTTGCCTCATGATCTCCACTTGTAAAAGCCCTAGGTGAAGCAAAGTGTATCCCCCTTGACTCCTTGTCACTTATTAGAGATCAATGGTGGGAGACAGGCTATAGACAGAGTCTGCAAAGGAAAGAGTAGCTTGTCTTTGTCTCAAACAGAGCCAAGAACAATATATCAATGTCCATACATATTTATGTATTTATACATATTTAAGAATTGATTCGGGATTTTTCTTTCTGAGGTGTAATTTTGGAGGTTGAGGTATGGAAGTCATTTTTCTAGAATAAAAGTAGCTGCTATCAGTAGGTAATTGGTACCCCTGTTGTTTTGCCTGTATTTTTGCTGCTTGTAGGACAGTTAATGCAATGCGTTGCTGAAGTCTCATTAACGTTGTTATGTTACCATGACACATATGTGAATATAGAAGCACCGTTGTCAGGCCGATGTAGCCAACTTATTACTACCCTGTTTTTCCAGTATTCATTTAAAAAGATGTAATTTTTGTTAATTAGATATTATAATATCTAATATAACATTTTAAATAATGAAGAATAGTCAAGTGATCTGTAAGTGATCATAATGAAATAGTCAAGTGATCACATGCAAATTTGCGTAAACAGGGTAGTATGAATTGAATACATAGCACTGAAAATAGATTTGTCCTTCAGGTTCTTCTAGGGACAATGCTGAGAAAGGAAGAGAGGGTTTTGTAATGATGAGAACCACTTTGGTATTATTACTTGAAATAGCTACAAGCAGAAGCCATAGATAATAATAATCTTCAAACTGGAGAGGTTGAAAGCTTAGAGAAGCCAAGAATGACTACAGCTGCCTTGAGTGATGGTGGAACAAAGCCACATAGTTGTGAATAGTTTATGCAGATGAAATAAAATCATAGTCAAAATGTGCAGTCATCAGGTTTTAGATCCAAGAAGCAGGTGGTTCATGTCTATCTCAGGGTTTTGGAGGGGTTCCCTGGCATCAACCATCTCAAAGAATCATAGTGACATCTACAATTAGATAACACAAGGGCACCATCACTTCAAACACAAAATTATTCCTTGTCTGTGGTCTTCTACAGACATTCAATGAGGCAGATTGTTCCTGTTTTAAAATAATGCCTCAGAACAAAATGCCACTTTTTCTGGAAGTGCTAAATGGAAGCTAATGACAGAAAGGAAATGACTTCCAAGTTTTACAAGTGGCAACCATTACCGAAGGATGCATGAGCTTTTCAAATCCACTTTTATTTACTCTAAGTCATGGCTTGTTAAGAACTGGGCAACAAAATGTGTAAAGAATGTGGCCACAGTTCCTGAATTATTTATAACCTGGTCATAGCATTTGCAGATCTCTTTATTGTTTGTTTTTTAATTTTTTAAATCTGCATTTAAAATTTCACCAATAATATTTTGCTTTTTTATTCTTAGAATAAAATTACCACTTTAATTATTAATGCTTAAATAGCTCTTCATTTCCAGTGGTCACTTAGTAACTTGTAATGTGATGGCATTTCTTAACTTCTACTGATTTTCTTTTGAGCCTCAGTAATGCCCTGTTCTGCAGGGCTTCTATTTCTACTATTTCTAACACCTCCAATTTGCAAGAAAGGAACATTTTAAAAAGAAGCATCAACAATACTGAATAAACAATCTTGTGACTTTTAAGATATTTGAATATTTTTCTGTAGGAAATTTAAAAAATAAAATACCATGTATATTGAGTCTGGATCTGAAAGTGATTCTTCTTGAGGAGAATTTTACTGATGAAATAACAGATTATGTGATCAGATTTCTCTTTTCCACTCCTAAGAAATAATTGAAATATATACATATATTTCTGGTGCAATGCAGCACTGAGTCTTGGGAGCATCAGCAGAGCAGCTGCCTTTCCATTTTCCCCTTCAGCTGCCATTTTAAAAAATGCATAGTCAGTGTAAAATGGTGAGCCCAGGCACTGATCCATTTTCTTTTAAGTGCTTTCATTATAAATTCTGTTATTAAAAATAAAAATTTTGGTATGCTGTCATTTCAGTCCATGTTCGTTACCTGCATGCCAATCATTAGCTATTCATTGCATGTGTTTGTTTAATAACCATTCTGTAATACTGCCTTTTTTTCCATTTTTAGTTGTTTAATTATTCCACTTGGAAATGAGTAAAAGTGCCAACAGATTAAAGAAATGGATACTTTGCTATTTAAGTAATAATTGCTCATCACTGGTCAGATAAGTGGATTCAGATTCAGGTGACCACATGTAAATATCTGCAATTTTAATATCTGTATCTAGGTTAGTCCTCCCAGGCTCCTTCTATAGACAATGGAGAGAAAAAAACATTTTTAGAATGCAATGTCATCCCAAATTAAGCTTCTAAAATAGATGATTTGCACCCTGGAAATGCTAGTTTCAGTTGACCATAAATGGAAACAAGGGTGACTAGCTTAGATGTTTGCTGCCTAGATTTCCAAAGGCAGATGAGATGAATCCCATCCCTGTGCTCCAATTAATCATGAATGCCCATAGGTTTTGTGTGATGACACTTCCAATGTAAACATACTGTGGCTGTGTTTTTTGATGTAAAGGACATAGTGCTGTTCAGTGCTCTGCACAGATAAGTAAGTTCTGTTCAGTAAGACCACCAAAGGCAGTAACTGATGTTAGGACTATATTTCAAATGGCTTAGATTGTCCTGCTTTTCATGTTGTCTAAGTAGTACCAGAGTATTATCACATCCACGATCTTTCCAGAATGGATCAGTTTGAGGAACAGCATTAATACCTGTATGTAGACATACAGAGGTGGTGTTTAATATTTCTGATGGAAGATAAAAGTAATGGTCTCGATCAAATTAGGTCTTGCTATGCAAAGGAACATACATTATAAATAATAATAATAGCTGTTTTTGCCTCAGCAAGCTCAGAAGGAGCTAGTTTACAAACAATGAAAAGGGAGAAGCCTGAATGGAAGTAGTATTATTTAGAAATGTCACATAGCAAGGGCCTCTTGCATTAAAGACGGTTGAAAAAGATGACAGATAATGAATGCTGAAAGACTTTTTAGGTTCTGCAGTTAATTTAGGACATTACCTTAATGGTGATTTTTCCTGTGGGTTTTTCCCCTTAGGATGATTTCCAGCATGCAGCCTCAGAAACCAACTGGGAGTCAGTCACAAGCTCTGTCTCAGTAAGTAATTTGTTACTATTTTGCCCATAGATGGGGTGATAGGAATCCCACTCACTAAATGGCACCTGTACAGAGGAACCATGTATTCACCTTTGGCAGAGGACAGATGAAATAAGTATTTATCTAACTCAACCAGTGTGTTTTTAAGGAGAAAAGACTGAGGATATTCCTTCAGCTGCTGTAACCACATGAGATAGCTGCTGGGAAACATTTCTTGCTTTCAAACTCATGCTGCCAAGATGAAAATACAAGATATAAACTTACAATTTTCAACTGTAAAATGTCTTAACCTAAATAGAAGACTATACTAAAACAGGCTGGCAGGAATATTATTCGAGCTTTTCATTGTGAATAATGAGCAACCTGATATAGTTGAAGATATCCCTGCTCATTTCAAGGGGGTTGGAAAATACGACCTTTGAAAGTCCCTTTCAACCCAAACTATTCTATGATTCTGTGGGGGTTTTTAAGTGTTTGTAATGAAGTGTTATATCTGAAGTATCTTATTCATCAGTGAAATGAAACTTAGAAAAAAAAAATGGAAAGAAATCAGGAAAACAAGTAATCTGGTATAAAATTTTATTTTACTCTTTCTTACATTTGATTTGGGTCATTGGGCAAAATTTTTGCACTCTTTCATTTCCAAAGTAAAGATAAATGCTGGGGAATGTCAGTGTAGCATCAGAATTCATAATGTGGTCAGTTCTCTTCTATGTGCTCTGCTGGCTGGTCAGAACCATGCCACAGCTCTTGTAAGTGCCTCTTAAAACACATGAGACAAGGGTAAGTGCTCAAAGCAGACTTGAGACCAATGATGTTTTCAGCATTCATAGAAGAGGATTTACTGGTAGCACCTTTGTTACAGTAGCTGCCAGGACTTGCCAGTGAAGGAGCAGTAAAAAAAAATGCTGGCAAATTCTACTGATTACTGTGCAAGCCAGGCAGCAAGTAGAGAGAAGATTCTGTATTGCCAAAATTAGAAGAGGTTAATCCAATCTCACTTGTGTTTACCCTTGAGCTTGCAAATAACACTTGCACTTCATGATACAATTCATTTATAGCCTTAAACTAATTGTGTTGAAAGTCCATTCTAATATTGGGCTGGAAAAGAAAATCTAGAATATTTTGAGAAAATGAACATGAGCCAGCAGTGTGCGCTTGCAGCCCAGAAAGCCAACCGCATCCTGGGCTGCATCAAAAGAAACGTGACCAGCAGGTCGAAGGAGGTGATCCTGCCCCTTTATTCTGCTCTCGTGAGACCACACTTGGAGTACTGTGTACAGTTCTGGTGTCCTCAACATAAAAAGGACATGGAACTGTTGGAACAAGTCCAGAGGAGGACCACGAGAATGATCAGGGGACTGGAGCACCTGCCATATGAAGATCGGCTGAGAAAGATGGGGCTGTTCAGCCTGGAGAAGAGAAGGCTGCGTGGAGACCCCATAGCAGCCTTCCAGTATCTGAAGGGGGCCTATAGGGATGCTGGGGAGGCACTCTTCATTAGGGACTGTAGTGGTAGGACAAGGGGTAATGAGTTAAAACTCAAACAGGGGAAGTTTAGATTGGATATAAGGAGGAAATTCTTTCCTGTTAGGGTGGTGAGGCACTGGAATAGGTTGTCCAGGGAGGTTGTGTTCATCCCTGGCAGTGTTCAAGGCTAGGTTGGACGAGGCCTTGGGTAATATGGTTTAGTGTGAGGTGTCCCTACCCATGGCAGGCGGTTGGAACTTGACGATCTTAAGGTCCTTTCCAACCCTAACTATTCTATGATTCTGTGATAGGCTGATATTTGAAAATGTAAGCCTAGGGCTCCCTCATCAGGTAACTATGAAAATGAGATCAAGTGTATGGTAAACGCCATGTTAGTTATCAGCCTTTACACCACAAGATACACAATACACCAAACAATAATCCAGTATTATTTTCATATATATGCACACACCCATATATATATAAGCTCATTTATCTTTCACATCTATTTGTTACTGAAAAATTGTTAATGTGTTGCAGGTAGGGTAGCTCATTACAAATATTACAGGTAACAAGCCGATGCCCAAGGTCACTTGGAAACCTACAGCTAAACCAGAAGCAAAAGCCCAATTTCATTGGTTTTCCTATGCTGTCCCCTACCTAATAAAACGTATCTTCTTCCACTGCACATCCATTGCACCCACGAGCCTTTTCTTATCCTCAGGTACAATAAGGTAGAGAGGTTGAGTGATTTTTCCCAAAGGCACAATAAAAAAGTATAAGAACATCCAAATTCTTCAGGACAGAAAAGTTCAGGAATTCTGCCGTGGTCCTGAGGAACAGAAGGACAAACTCAGACCTGCCAACACACTGACATACTCTTCTGCTGATAGCTCAGTTTGTGTGGCAGTTTTGCTCCTTACCCCTACAGGGAACCCAAACGCTCATTTTAGTACCTGGGTACAACTCTCAGAATGAAAACTTTAGAGAGAGCAAATTATTTCTTGTCTGCAGTCATATCACAGAGTCATATTTTGTAGTTGGTTTTTTCCCCTCAGAAAGCTAAAACTAATACTTTTGCCCATAACCCAGCATGGCAAACCCAGGAAAAAAAATAAAAAGGAAATAAAATTTGCTCCTTGTTAGGTTAATTTCCATTACCTGTGAAGTAATGTTATGGCCAACAAAGAGCTGTGATGTACATTGAACTGTCTATCAACCTCACAGTACAGACAGGAAATGGAGAAGAATGGAGGAAGAGAAATCAAGGGTAAGAGCACTGGCAAAAAAACCCTGCAAAAATAACCCCTTTATTTCCCATGAAACTGAAAATACTTTCAGTGCTTTTAAGAAATATAGAAGAGGTGCATAATGTGGAAAATGTTTCTCTTCAATGCTTCTTGCATTTCACTCCTCCTCTTGCCCTTTTTCTGGATTCTGTCTTGGAAGCCAGATAAGGATGATCACAAGCTCTTCTAAAGCTAGTGCCTCGTTCTTGGCAGGACAGAGGAGAGCCAGTTGGTTTGGCAGCTTTGAAGTTGCTTTTGGGCCTGTCACATGGTGTCACTGCCAGTAGGTTATGTGAGCTGTTGAAATAATTCCTCTTGACTAGACTGTCACTGAGAAAAAGTTAAGCTTTCTTTTGTGTGTGAAAGAGGTAGCACAAATCTTTTGAGTAGAAGTTTTTATATGAAAAGAAAATGGGGAATCCCTGCTGCCTGTTTTAGTTTGAAATGCCCTGCAAATTCACAGCCTGACCTGCAGTTCTGTAATTAAATGCATAGTTGAACATGTGAAAAAAAACCTCTTGCATCGTCTCAGCCACACACCTATGGCCTGATTTTTCTGCTGCTGTCTCTTGAGCATCCTTGCACCATCTCACTTATTTTTGAAAGGCAGTTGGGGCCTGACATTTCCCTGTTGGGCTGCAGTCACAGATGAGCCACAAGCTCCACGGAGCTCTCCTCAGTAAGCAATAACATTTGGGTCCATTTTTCTTTTGTAACCTCAAAGAGTACATTAGCACAGCACAGTGTCTCCTGCAATATTGTTTTAGGCAACAACGCTGTGTTCTCTTGGCTGGTGTGAGCTTTTCAACTCTTTGAGCTCCTGTCTCTCTGACAGGCTCTACTCCAAGCCACTTAGAAGTCTGGAGAGATGCTTTGAGGTATGCTTTCCCTTTTAGTGGGTCATGAATTTTTACAGCCATCTGCACTCTGTCTGATTTAGGTCTGTAATGTAAAGACATTGCAGTCACAAGTGGGCCCTCTGAAACTTCCTGTGCTGTCGGTGAGAAGCAATAAAGCACAGCTATGCTTTATTGACCACTCTATTGTATTGTTTTCTATTTCTTTTTTTTTTTATAATTTGAACTATCCATACTTTCAGCAAGCATATGCAGTAAAATATCAAGGGTTGTTACTTAGAATCATAGAATAGTTAGGGTTGAAAAGGACCTTAAGATCATAGAATCATAGAATCATAGAATAGTTAGGGTTGGAAAGGACCTTAAGATCATCAAGTTCCAACCCCCCTGCCATGGGCAGGGACACCTCACATTAAAACATACCACCCAAGGCCTCGTCCAACCTAGCCTTGAGCACTGCCAGGGGCGGAGCATTCACAACCTCCCTGGGCAACCTACTCCAGTGCCTCACTACCCTAACAGGAAAGAATTTCCTCCTTATATCCAATCTAAACTTCCCCTGTTTAAGTTTTAACTCATTACCCCTTGTCCTATCACTACAGTCCCTAATCAACAGTCCCTCCCCAGCATCCCTATAGGCCCCTTCTGATACTGGAAGGCTGCTATGAGGTCTCCACGCAGCCTTCTCTTCTCCAGGCTGAACAGCCCCAACTTTCTCAGCCTATCTTCATCTGGGAGGCGCTCCAGTCCCCTGATCATCCTTGTGGCCCTCCTCTGGACTTGTTCCAACAGTTCTAGGTCCTTTTTATGTTGAGGACACCAGAACTGCACACAATACTCCAAGTGAGGTCTCTCAAGATCAGAATAAAGAGGCAGGATCACCTCCTTTGACCTGCTGGTCACACTCCTTTTGATGCAGCGCAGGATACGTTTGGCTTTCTGAGCTGCAAGCGCACAATACAAGCTCATGTTCATTTTCTCATTGACCAGCACCCCCAAGTCCTTCTCCGCAGGGCTCCTCTGAATCTCTTCTCTGCCCATCCTGTAGCTGTGACTGGGTTTGCTCTGACCCAGGTGTAGGGCCTTGCACTTGGCATGGTTAAACTTCATGAGGTTGGCATCAGCCCACCTCACAAGCGTGTCAAGGTCCCTCTGGATGGCATTCCTTCCCTCCAGTGTATCAACTGAACCACACAGCTTGGTGTCATCGGCAAACTTGCTGAGGGCGCACTCAATCCCACTGTCCATGTCAGCGACAAAGATGTTAAACAAGACCGGTCCCAACACCGATCCCTGAAGGACACCACTCGTTACTGGTCTCCAGCTGGACATTGAGCCATTGAGCACAACTCTTTGTTTGTGGCCCTCCAGCCAGTTCTTTATCCACTGAGTGGTCCATTCATCAAATTGATGTCTCTCCAATTCAGAGACAAGGATGTCGTGTCGGACAGTGTTGAATGCATCACACAAATCCAGGTAGATGACATCAACTGGTCTACCGCTGTCCATCAGTTCTGTAGCCCCATCATAGAAGGCCACCAAATTGGTCAGGCAGGATTTCCCCTTAGTGAAGCCATGCTGGCTGTCACCAAGCACCTTGTTGATTTTCATGTGCCTTAGCATGCCTTGCAGGAGAATCTGCTCCAAGATTTTGCCAGGCACAGAGGTGAGACTGACTGGTCTGTCATACTTCTGTGACATAACTTACCATTACAGACAACTAGTTTGTTTTAAAAGACTTATATACTTTAAAACCATTCTAGTACGCTTTGAAGGACACAATCCCACAAAAAAAGTAAGTAACTTTACTCGGATGAGTTGAGATTTCCATTACTACCCAACTGAGTAAAGTTGATCACAAAGATCAATAGTTTAACATATGCATTTATTTGGGAAAAAAAAATGATTTTAAATGGCATGTTTCTGCCACTTTACTTCAAAGATGGGTTTTAATAAGAGGGATTTTAGGTTTTTTTCCCCCCACTGCTTTTACTTACAAGACCAAAATTCAAACAAGTCCTCCTCTTTCTTATGCTTCTGCTTGGAAAAAATCAGGTATTTTGATTGTGGTCCTTCAGAAAGTAAGAGATCTGCATTAATAGTTTTCTTGCATGTATTTTACACATACTATTAGGCTTTGTGCTTGGACAAGGAAAAAGTGATATCAGGGTAGTGAATATTGTGATTATAACTAATGATTATTAAAAATGTCTGAAGTCCTCTCCAGTAAAATGAAAGTGCTGCAATGTTTCTGACAAATTCAAGTTCTGCCACTAGTTCAGTGGGAGCTGAATACACTCAGAAAATGGTACTTGGCCCTTCTTGGTGGAAAATAATATTTCATTTGGTATTATGACATAATTGTAAGGATACCACTGTGGTGGCAATCACAGCATTCATTGTTACACTACCGAGATCCAAGTACCACACTTTTTCTCATTTGCTTAGTAACTTATATTTTTTTTAATAAGGCGGGAGAATTGACATTCATCAGTGTTTCATAATACATTTAATTGTTGGGAGTAAAAGGCCATCTTTTCAAGTCTTTAACCAAGTCAAATCTGTCATCCAAACTGACCAAGGAAAGGAGGGAGATCTAATGGACTTGTTGCCTTTGTCTTTCTCTGCTGTGGTTTCTCCTCTGCCTATTATGGATTTGCTAACAGAGCTGGCAGAGCTGTGAAGGCACCACCTCAGCACTACAAGGCACTTTGGTCTTTGATCATGGCTATCACAGTGGTTTCAAAAGACATTTCCATTACATCTTTGTGTATGTGCAAACCATCATCTCCTTTGAGGAGTGGGTGTGCATGTTGACAGACCAGCAGTGGCAGTGCTTCCACTCCCTGCATCTCCTCTAGGATCTGTTTGGAAGTTCCTTGGTGAATTTTCTCCTTACAAAAAGAAAACACAGATATAACACAGCCTGGCCCACTAAGGACTTCAAAAGATGGCCCAAAGTAGCTGTTTCAGTCAATAATGAGTTTCTCAGTAACTGCTTTGAATTGTTTTAAGTGGTGCCATAATTTATTCCAAGTACACTGAGATGTATGTCACTCTTAGGGGGTATCCTATCCCTCTCCATCAGTGACTGATCCTACCCTCACGGCAGAAGCACTGGATCAGACCATTGCTGCATTTGACACAGTGGAGGATCTGCTCAAACACTTTAACCCAGACTCCTGGCAAGAAGATCTTGAGAATTTGTACACAGAGAGTGGCCACCATTATCGAGGCAGGAGCTACCATGACAGGAAGTCAAAAGGTAGGAAAAGACACTATACACATGATTTGGGGCAAGACCAGAATATTCCTTCACTCTTCATAGAAATGTCCTTTGGGCAGGTATTAGATTCTGGTGCCCATGCTCCTGTTGGAGTCACAGGGCAAGTGTGACAATAAAAAATCAAGGATACTAAAATCAGGGAAAAGCTATTTAATCCTTAATCATTTTCTGACTAAGATCTTGCCTGAGAAATCAGGCTGAAAAGTGCCCATCATTATGATGAACTCACAAATAAAAACATAAGCCCATGTGTAAAGGACAGATGGTTCTCAGCTTCACCCTCTTAAACATTGCTTTGTTTGTAAGACATGGGGCTCCTAATTACCTGCACTATCATCTTTCTTTAAATACCCTGCTTATGGATCATTCTCTGTTGAGTGAGGAATAGTAATTTTTATCACATTGTGCTTAGGGAAGCATCTGGTGCAGACACCTGTATGTGCAGCTGGTTTTTCAGGATGTGAGCATCTCACTGGTTTTCATTATGTTGGCAGGGAACATTATTATGGTTTAACATCTTTGTAATTGAGCAAAGCACACATTCTGGGTTATGTTTCTTGTTTCCTTCTGTTAGGTCAAACCATCCACCAAATGGTAAAGCTAAGGGATGTTAAGGTATAAGTACAAACCCATAATGATAAAGAAACACTATTTAGAAATATGTCATGCTCCGGGGTAACCATGGGCTGAAGGGCCTGATGAAATTGCCCTTTAAGTGCAAGAACAGATCTAGGAGGTCTGTTAGGGTTCTCCAAGATGACAATTACTGTAGTTTCCACAGGAGCTATGGAGTGAAATATTTTATATGAGTGAGTTCTCCTGTTGGTATTGTCTTCTATTTCCAAGTTATATATTCATATGCATTCTTCTTAACAACTTTAAAATTCTAATGCCCAAATCACAGTTCTGATTCTGTGAAATTTAACATTTACTTGCATCTTAATTCCCATCCTCCTTATGTTAAGCATGTGCTGGGCAGGGAGAGAGGATTTTAATTCTATGAAATTTACTTGCTATTAAATGATAAGCTTTTGATCTTAAAAGAGACATGCAAATTGCATCTGTATTAGGGAAAACGGTGTTGAGGAGTGTTCTCAGGCCTTGAAACCCAATCACCATATTGCTAAATTGTCTGGCCTGGTCTCTGCTTAGTTCTAGGCCAAATGTCATTACCTCAGGTCATTGCTGGACGTGAAATAGGAGCTGGCACAAGCCAGCTGCCATTCTTGGTGATAGTTTGCGTTGACCACCTTGTATTGGAGAGTAAGAGATAAATGGTAGGGATGTGGGTTGTCCCATGGATGTTGACCTCTGTGCAGTAGAAGGATCTCAGGCACATACAATGTATTATTAGACTTGCAGCCAACTTAGTGTACAGTTTCCAAGGCATTTTGGCCATCTTTGGTCTCAGGCTCAGTACTTCAAAGGAATCTGCAATAAAGCCCTGTGTACCCCTCCAGTGAAAATGGAACCCTTTTATTCTCCTTTGTGGCACGTCCATGACAACAGCATATTTTGTGAAAAATGTAATGTAACTGCCACTGCATCACTTCTGACATCAATTTGACCTCATTTAGGGGTCTGTGAAACATGTTCTGTGTCCCCCTTATTCCCAGGCTGGATTTGACGTTGACAGACATGTATACAAATGAAATAAAGGGTCTGATTTGATTTTCATAGAAGCTGATTAGAAATCTCAATACTGTACTGGTTCTGCTCTTCGCATTTCATTTGACTCTCAGATCATATTTGGCCTAGTACCTCATATATTTAAATGACGAAATATATGTGAAGTAACATTTGCTGTTTTATTAGTGCAGACTATGTAGGCTAGAGTTACCAATCTGATCTAGTAGTGTTCAGAAATTCAGATGCATAAAGTTTTCTCCATTTGGTGTAAATGTAATTCAGCTTCTTACATAACAGTGTAAAAAACATAAAGGGTTTTCCAGTTATTATTGTAACACGTGATTTATTTTAAGAGGTCTTTTGATTATTGTTTTGATTACAGAAATAAGAAAAAAAGTTGTAAAATAGTTTCTCTTTTGTCTTCAAACTACAGGCAAAATTCCCTGACTGTTAGCAGCTCTCTTGACAAAAGTACCTCACCACAATCAGATACTTAAAAAAATTCAGTTAAGAATTTTTACTTAGTCATAAACTTCTGGCAAGATTAAGGGCTTATTCCTGAATGATGTCAGGAGTAGGGAATAGCTTTAACAAGTCCTTAAATTAGAAATGCTTAGTGGATTTTAAACACAGACACTGTGGATCGCTAAGGGATGTTTATAGGCAATAGGACAACCTTGCAGCAAAGAGAGCAACAGTTTATATCATCATTTATTTCAGATATCTATCCATTTCTGCTTCCAGCTTGGGTGTCATTTTTTATCCTCAGTTAGAACAGCTCTGAGGCAGATAACAACAATTTGATGTAATCTCTGCCTGTCTTTCACAGAGTTTTCAGATCATGTCATATATGTAGTATAAATGGATCTCTAATGATTTCACTCCTATATAACTCTCTGCACGTACCAAATTGTACCACAAAATTGAGTTTAAGAGGTAGCGTTGCTGAATGCCAATTCTAATAAAAGGGGTATGTGATAAATGATATTTAAATGGTAAGTTTTCCTAATTTGGCAATCAACAATCTACAAAGATAAGGATCAGGGTAAGGAAATAAGAAGTACAGTGTTTTAGCCCAACTGAAATTCAGAATCACAGAACAGACAAAGTGAGATGGCATCTCAGGAGTTCACATAGTCCACCCACCCAGCTCAAGGAAGGGTTACCAATAACAGGTTGCTCTGGACCATATCTAGTCCGGTTTTGCATGTATCCAGGAATGGAGGATACACAACCTCTCTGGACAGCCTATGTCTGACCACCCTCCAAACAAAGGAGGGGGTTTTGTTTTCTTTTAAACATTTGAATAGGTTTTCTTATGTTACAAGTTGAGTCCATCACTTCTTGTCCTTTGAAAGAAGATTCTGGCTCCATCTTCTTTACTCCCTTCCATCACAGGAGATAAATCCTTGAATATGTCCTGCAAGAACCTTAAGGATGAAAAGTGTGTTGATTAAATCTGTATATATGTGATAACCCCATTCCATCTACAGAATCTGATCTCACACCTCTACAGCAGTGAAGCAGCTCTATTGAGTTAAATGCATTTCTTTCTATTTACACTATTGAAGTGAGATATTGGTATCAGGTATGTCTCGCTAATAACCACATGAAGTCTGAAATTTAATTCTACTATGTTCAATGAGGTTTGCTGTTAACCGCTTCAGACTGGCAGAAAAGGACAGAAAAGGAAGGGGAAGACACACAGGGACATTTTCAAAATCCTCAAATGAGATGCCTTGTGTAAACTACGAACTACAGTGTACACCTTCATGAAAATATGACAAGTAGATGTTTTACCCTTTGCAGCAGTGATAAATATGCTCAAAAAGTTTTGCTATCCACCGCTGCATTTTAGAAACCCTGAAAGTATGAATCTTCAGCCTTAAGCTCATCCTAGACTCTTAGGAAAAAAGCAGATCATACCAAATAAAGTATATCCTTTAAAATAATTCCTTTTGCATTGCTGCAATATGTTGTAGCTGATCTCAGTGTCATAGTAATTTGGCTGTTACAAATATAAAACATCTCTATATCATTGGCTATTAGGTTATTTAATACTGTTCTTAGCAAGAACACAGGTAGATATAAAAAACAGCCAACTTTGTTGAACTTCTAGATTTATATTCTTTTAGAGAGTCATAAGGTGCATTCAGGTGTGTTAAAAGGAAAACTCTTGATCCTATAATTTAAATTTTTGAAGCACCAATATATCTGCTTGACAATATCAGAACTCCTCAGAGGTACTGTTGTGAACAGTTTCAACCATCAATTAAACATCTAACTTTTCCCACATGCTTGCTTGTATTTATCTTCTGTTGTTCATTCTGAAGTTTTACCTTGAACTGAAAAAGGCTTTACAGGCTTTGAAAGTTCTCTGCCTGTGAAATGACTTGTCTACAGATGAAGAAAGCAAAGAGAAAGTTCACTGTTTCTCATCACAGAAATGTCGAGGGGGTGGTACCTAGAGAAAGGGATCATCTTTATAAAAAGAATGGGGGTTTGTTGTTTTTTGTTGTTACTGTTTTGTGGATTTTGAGGGGGGGTTATTTGTTGGTTTGGGGTTTTTGGCGGGGTTGTTTATTTTTCAGGGTTTGTGTTTTGTTTTGTTTTTGTTTTTTTTTTTTTTTTGATTGATTTTGTATTTGCTGTGGGGTTGTTTGGGCTTTTTTCTAAGAATAAAAGTGAGTGCAGGAGCACCTGCAGATAGATATATTCTTGTAATTAACAAGACTACACACGCCTCTGTGCTCATTTTCTTTTCTGGAAATAGTATGCATGAAGCCTTTGGCTATCAGAGGAAATTAATCAGGTGGGACATTGTTGCAGTAACATCTGTCTGCAATGACAGCTTTACAGGTTAAATAAATAGACACTTGCTGGCATAGCCACACTGTTCTCTAGAAGGGGAGTAGCAAGATGAGACCACAAGTCTGCATGGAATGTTTTTGCTGTCCAAACAGGTTCCCAAGATCAGGCAAGTTTCGCCTTGTTCTTAACAATAGTTTTTAATTGTCACTACTTACAATGGTCTAGCAAGAAGTTAAAAGTTTAAATCAGGAATGTAATTTCTCAGGGGGCTGCAAACAGTGGCCAATAAATTACTGCAAACATTCATGTACTCTTCCTTGAAAGGTTCTGGGATGGCTGCCAGCAAGTTTCAGTGCACCAGATAGAATGTGCAGGCACCACAAATGCTGAATACCTGCTCATTCACAGGAAATGTGAATATTACAGCTACCTTCTCAAATACCTGCAAAGTATTACCCATGCTTAAAAAAATAGGATATTTCTTCCATCATCTTCAGCTGGGAGCCAATCTGTCTGTTGTATGCAAACTACACACATCC